GTCAACTAATATTTTCTGGTTTCATTTACGTGACCCATTCTTTTCAGCGAAAAAAAAATGGTCGATCGCTGAATTGGAAAGTATGAGCCTAGCTGATATTTATAAAATTGTAGAGGATGTAGACGAGGTACCTAGTGATAATGAGTCAGTACTAGATGATCTGGACGCTGTTATGAGTGATGAAATACCCATTACTCAAGAAAATGCTGACCTAAATAATGATCTTTTCAATCTTCGGAATATGGATGTCATTTTTGAGGACTTGATCGAAGATGAAACTGCTCTTTAGACAATGCGCAGTGGGAAAGTGACGATGATATTCCACTAGCTAGAAGAAATGATATATTTCTGCCTTGCTACTGGACCAAAGATACAGTATACATCAACCAACCAAGCAAATTTGAAGAAGAGGCTGGCCCCAATTTGCCTGATATCATTGAAACACCTACGGACGTTTTTTTTGCACCTATTTCCTGAAGACCTCACCGACCATATTGTTTTTCAAACAAACTTATATTGTGTACAGAAATTTGGCGATGGAAGAAACTTCGTTCCTACAACGAAGGATGAAATCAAAGTTTTCTTCGCTGTAAATTTGCTGATGGGTGTAAAAAGGCTACCCAGTTATAAAGATTACTGGTCGTCAGATGAAGTGCTCAGAGACTCATTTATTAGTGGCTGTATTTCCAGAGACCGTTTCGCATGGTTACTAAGTAATATTCACCTCAATGATAATTCCGTACAGCCCAAAAAGGATCAGTCACCATATGACAAACTTTATAAAGTGAGGCCACTTCTTTCCAGATTACAAGAGACATTTCTTTCTTCACTAAAGCCAAATGAGTTTCAGTCAGTAGATGAATCAATGATACGGTTCAAAGGCCGCAGCAGTATCAGACAGTACATGCCAATGAAACCTATAAAGCGCGGTTATAAGGTTTGGGTCAGAGCAGATTCCAATGGATACATGTGTGAATTTCAAATCTATACCGGCAAGGTGGATCACGCTCCAGAAAAGAAATTAGGAGAGAGAGTTGTTATAGATCTAAGTAGAAACTTGGTTGGAAAAAACTACAAGATTTACTTTGACAACTTTTTCAATTCTGTCGAGTTACAAAGACAGTTGATCAACAATAAAATATACTCCTGTGGTACCTTACGAAAGGGTAGAAAGCACTGTCCTGAATTCAAGTCAGACAAGGATATGAAACGTGGTGAAGCCGATTGGCATATTTCCAAAGATGGTTTAGTTGCCCTGAAATGGGTAGACCGGCGTAGCATACTTATGTTGGGAAATCACAATGATCCCTCTGTTTTAGATACAGCATCTAGAAAAAGAAAAGACGGCTCTCCAGAGGATATACCATGTCCCCAGATGGTTTGTGAATACAATGCCCATATGGGCTATGTGGATCGCTTTGATATGTTGAAAAGTCTCTATGAAGTTAACAGGAAAGCACATAAGTGGTGGCATAGAATTCTATTCTACTTCCTAGATGCTTGCGTTGTAAACAGTTTTATACTCTTCCAGCTAAGAAGTAACTCTAAGGGATTAACTCTGAAAAAAATTCGACTGTCTTTGGCACGAGGTCTCATTGGAGTAATAGGACCCACTAAATGAGGAAGACCATCTTTTGCACCTACTGTAAATAGATTCAAGAAGGTGGTACCCTATGAAGTACGATACTGTAAGGCTTCTCACATGCCTGAAAGATCAACATCTCTTAGATGCTCCCACTGCAGTACACTTGATAATCCACATAGAACTATATGGAAGTGTTCGACGTGTCATGTGGGATTATGCTTGAATAAAGATAGAAACTGCTTCTCACTGTTTCACAAAAGATAACTTTTTTTAATTCTTTTTTGAAAGTGTACCTTAGTTCCTGGTGGTTAGCGTTGGTGACCACGTCCTGAAGGATAGCTACACATGTTTATTTGAGAGTACTTTGTTTTAGAGGTTTATTTGTACTATTTTTAACTCATTGTTCAATAAATTTTAGGAGTTTGTGAATTTTAATTAATTTCGGGCTCAAAGGGTTAAATAGAGCGGCATCCATCCAAGCATTTTTTTTATTTTTATACCACACTGCAAGAGCGTTGGGACGGACGTGCTTAAATGCTCTTGGTTTAGCTGATTTTCCTATTATCAACAAAGGAAGTTTGTGTATACCGGAAGCATTGCTACAAGCAAGGATAGTCGCACGTTATTTACTGCGTTTGTAAGCAGAAGGTCCAGATTCTTGTTTTGAAGCTAAACTTTTCGCCGGTAACATTTTATAGTTTAGACCCGTTTCGTCGCAGTTGTAAATTTGTTCTGGATTTAAACCATACTGCTTCATTAATTCCTTGAAATGTCCTCCAAATTTTAATGCAACAATCTTACCATCAAATAACTTTTTTTCGCAATTTTTTTAATTCTCGTATACCGTGGCGTTGTTTCCATCTATGCAGCCAACCATCATTGGCTGTAAAGTTATCATGCGCAATAACTGGCAATTCGTCACTTAAGCTGACTGCCTTTTGTTTTAGAATTGGTCCGAAAATTGGAATTCCACGTTCTCGATTCTGTGTAAACCACAGATATATAAAGCATCATCCACTTTTGGTATTCCCCCTTTTTCATAGTTTTCGGTGACGGCTGCGATTATGTCAGAACACTAGACCGCTTTTCAATTTTCTCGCGTTGTTTTTTCCATTCTCAAATGGACTCACGCCCACACCCAAATCACTTGCCACGTTTTTAAGTAGATCACCTCTATCTAAACGTCTGATTACCTCAAGTTTCTATTCTATGGTAATAACAACGCGTTTACGTTTATTTCTATGCTGCTCCATCTTAGCGATTATGAACCTGACTGAAACAAACATACACGCACACATACCAGTGAATTCGGTAAACGTGCTTGGGGAATCACCGGCAGCGAATCTAATGACGCAAAAGCCGAAAAGGGAACTACCGGCGGCTATTTCGGATCATGCGCCGATTTCCCGAACAACTTCGGTTAAAACGGAGAAATTATTGTATGTGATCTGTTTCGGATTATAAACCGGATTTCGGATAATCGGGGTTCTACTGTAGTATGAGGTTGTATGAGCTTGTCGTTAAGATGCTAAGTCTAGCTAGATAAAGGTGGGTGGGAACAAGTCCCGGCATCCTGCGGCAGGGCCCATGGACTGAAAAGTGGAACTTAATTCCTGCAAAAATCTATTCATAAAGTGCACTTTACCGCCCCGTCCTCGATAAAACGCATTTCGGTGGAATTTAGTGAACCATTTTCTGGTTATTGCGTCCATTCATGAAATTAATGAAGGATAATAATGGATATATTACGCCTTTTATGGGTGTGCCTTATTATATTCTATAAACATTATGTTTGCGGGTATCGAAGCATAACACTTGGGTTTAACTGTAAATTATTTCATTACCTGGCAAAATAGCTTTCAGATATTTCAAGGCTGAAAAAAAGTTGCGTGTCATGATATCTATATTTAAAAAGAATTGGACCACTAGAATTGAATCTGTTTATAGAATGTAGTTACTTTATATCGATATCGGAGGTACTCTTATAGGGGTCAAGTAATATGAAAGGTGTAAAGATTTTCTTATATTAAATCAGGCATAGGTAGAAGCTTAAATACCAGGGCACCACGGCTGCTATGAGGGGCCTAAATATACTTGGTTAATCCAATTTTTGAATTGCCTAAAGTTAGTAGAACTGGTAAATGCCTCCTCGGGTAGATCGTTCCACAATCCCGATACCCTGGAGAGAAACGAGCGGTCGTATCGGCCAGTTCTGGATATACAAAGTTTGTCTCGATTAAGACGAGAGGCCGAAGCTCTGAGGAGCAAATCCCGTTGACACAGCAGTAGAACAGAGCTAGATCGCCGGCGGTCCGTTGATGCAAAAAGTTCCGATACTGTCCGTTAGAGAATCTGCAGCCCTCCTCCGAGCAGCATCGAGCATGCATAATGTAGCTGGGGCCGAGCATGAGAGCAGTATTCAAGACCAGGTCTTATCTCGGCCTTGTACAGAATGAAGATGTTATGTGGAGAAAAATACTTCTTAGCCTCGAAACAAATAGCCTAGCTTTTCCCTGCAGTTGCGGCTAATGAGAATCTGTGCTCGTCGCAGATCAAGTCCTCGGTCATTTGGACACCGACCAGCCGAAATGAACGGCTCTTTGGTAGAATTCAGCCAACCTTCGAAACCTAATGAGCGCTAAGCCACTTCTTGTTAGTCAAGGTAGAGCACTGTGTTTCGGGAAAGATCAGACTGTACCAAACTGTTGCGTTCCTAAGCAGTGATAATCTAAAGTTTTTTCTTCAGCGAGGAAGTCGCTGCTAGTCTTTTCTCCAGCTTATCGATAGACATGTTCTTGTGACTCTGAATTGCTGCATGTAGAGTGCTGTCATCAGCAAAGCTGTGGATCGGAAGATATTATTTATGGAGAATACAGTGATTTTATTCACTAAACAGGAGGTAAAATGTATCCGCCTTTGGCTTGACAATTTAAACTGTTTGTACATAACAGCGTTTCTTCCAAATAAAATCCTTTAAAAAACAAGCAAAACCAATAATTCCGCGTTTTTCCTATTCCGGTATATTGATATTTTTCAACCTTCGAGCTTTTTTCGATCCATTTTTCCTGTGAGCTTCGGTGACCTTAAGATCCGTCGATCTCTTCAGATTTGTTGACCTACGTCATGAGGTCCGTCGGCCTCAAATCTCGTTTATAACTCCGAGCTCATGATGTACATTGAACCTCGCAACTTCGGCTAAAGTTTCCTCTTCCGGCGTTATTACCTGGGGATAAGAAATTATTTTGAAACGGCGCTGTATCTTGACCAACCTCAATCTACCGCAATTAACCAAACGACTACCGGCCTTCCGCCTTTAACCGGCGCCTGCCTCTCTCTCTCGCACCTACATCGCATGTGTATCTCGACCTTTCACATTGACCCGCCAATCGCCTTAAGCACGCAATTTCCCCCACCTGCCGAAATCCCGTCCGATTCGGCAACGCCGCCCACGCAATCGGACGATCAGCGTCGCGAACGCAGGCCACCGCGACTCAGTACGTTTACGTTCGCGACCGCGGACCAATCAGCAACGCGCTTACGCGACGCGATCTTCATTTGTTTACGCGCGGGTGTCGGATGTGGCGGTCGGGGTGGTGATCAGTGAAAATGACAAGCACGCTGCCCAAGATTAGGGTCAAGAACAAGGGAAACCGGTTGATCATAAAGGCGGATACGTTGCCAAAGTCCAACAAGGCGGCGACATTAACTCTGACTAAACAAAAGACTTTGGTCAACAATAACAATAATTACAACAATAACAACACTATATTGAAGTATAGCAATGCAGGTGAGGGAATTGCTTGTGGTTTATCAAGTCCGTGCGAATTTATGATTGTTGATATGATTCATGCACAGGTATTCCTGACGTTTATTTACAGCAAGTGCGTCGTCAAAAATGCACCAAACTCAAGGTCATAGGATACGTTGATGTTACAAGCTAAAGATCATTGTTTTCCTTCCACTCACGTCGAGGTGATAACAGAAAATGGCAAAGATATTTTTGGTTATAAAGATTAGGGTCTTTAGGTACTAGATCTTAAGAGCAACTGTTTACTGTAATTCTGCCCTATCCACAGTCGTAAACTGCTCTTGCCTCCATCAGCTTTACCTCAAATCTATCCCAAATTGGGAGAAAAATCCGAACCTCAAATACTGCAAAGGCAATTTTTAAATACTTATACCAAGAAGCCAAGCTAATGAACTTAGGTAAGGTAGAGAATGAAATTGAATAATTCAGGAGCTGATGAGTATACAAATAGCCAAAATTTAGCTTGGGAAATATTTGATGGGTGATGGGAATTACAAAACGTCTGACAACACAATCTAGAAAACTACTTCCTCAGCATGTTAGTATAGAATTATAAGCTCCAAAAAGACACTTCTTGTAGTCCAGACCCTATTAAAAGAAAACGTACTAAATTATACGTAATTTTGCGACAAAGTGACGCCAAATTTATAAAAGGACCTGCCGAATTTATGTATACGCTCGCCAAATGTATATAAAGATCCGCTAAATCGATGTAAAGTGGCGCCAGATTCTTAAAAGAATGTACCAAATTTATGTAAGACACGCCAAAATATATATTAAAGCGCGGGAAATTTAATTAACGACCCGCCACGTTTGTTAAAAAGGTACCCGAAATTTATTTAAAAGTATGCCAAATTTATGTGAGGCTGTACCAAATTTATGGTGATTATGTGAGATAATGCCAAAATATAAAAATGCTCCAATTTATCTTGAGGCGTGCTAGATATATGTGATGATATATGTAATGGTGCACAAATAATCGTAAAGTGAGCTCAATTTTATGAGAGGACGTGTCAAATGTATCTACAGGTACGGTATACAGAGGTAGCGCCAGATTTATAAAAGAATGCGCCAAATTTATGTGGGGCGTGTCAGATGTATATTAAAACGTACAAATAAGAGCAGGCGAAATTTATTTAGTGTGTACTAAATATATGAGGCTGCGCCAAATTTATGATAGCCGTGCCCTTTTGTGAGAGTACGCCAAAATATAAAAGTGATCCAGTTTATGTTGAGGCGTGACAATTGTATCTGGTGCTGCGCCAAAATAATGTAAGACCCTCTAAATCAACATAATTTATACATATGAGATTCAACAAATTCGTTCGAGGAGATGAAGTTTTTGGATTTGTCTTTTCTCAGAGGCGAACGAAACATTTGAATGACCGTATAGGTGTGCACTTAAAGGTTCGGTTATTCCGTCAGAAGTTAAACATTGAAAGCTTGAACAGTGTTGAAATGAGGAAGCACCCAAGTTAGCAATAATCCTGACAATAATAATGATAAACGGCCACTAATATCAGGATCAATATCCGTTAACATATTAACATATTGCTATGTCATCATATTGCACCACAACCTTCCTCGAGACCAGTTAAGATCAAAATGCATTGTTTTGTCATTGAAGGGAAATTAGTCTCACTCTGTCTAGCAACCAGGTTAAGAGCAAGGGCAGTTGGATAATGATCAAGAAGGCGGATGCCTCGCTAGCAATTGAATAACATTTGCCTTGAAGAAACAAAAGATGCCTGTAAACAATACCAATTGCATCGAGGATTTCACTGTTTCTTATACAGAAATGCAAATAGAAATTTGGAACTTGCGATTAAAACTATCGATTGTGTCATGGAATGTATCAAGGTTGTGATTTACGTTTTAATCGTAGCTAAAATGTGACGGTTATAGATATGATTCATTCGTGTTAGTAAATATATATGGACATACGTGGTCTGAACGATAAGTCTAGTTCTTCCCAGGTTACATTCCTATACAGTATTTTGAAAGCTCCTGTAACACTCTGAGATTCTGCGAAGCAATTATTGCAATTTTAAGATGACACCACGCAAAACCAGCTTAGCCCCGGACCGCCTGGAGTGAGCATTCCCGTTCCCAAAAGGGCGCCCACCCCTCCAAAAATTTAAATGAACATGTCCCTTTTTCAATGCTCCAGAGACGTCACCCCCGTCCGCCCCGAAAACGCCAAAAATCTTCCGAAAATGCGAAAACTCACCCAGAGTTGTTGACGTACTATTCCGGTTAATTACTTTGCAATGTTTTACTAAAATGCTGCATGTGCATTGTTTATAGATCTGAAATGCGAGAAATGGAACTTCGACATCTGAAGCGCACCATGTTTGTCTTGCGGGGAAATAATTATATTATTGAACAGTTTGGTCTTTAGATGGCGAAGTAAAACATCTGTGCATTTGATATCCAAGAAAAAACCTGGATAAAAAACTCATGACCCATAAGTTAGGTTGGACAATTGCTATTAGATATTTACTTCTAATATACACAAACAAAATTAGTCACAGTCCACAGAAAAACTAGAAAGATAATTGTTTAAACATAATATGTGGTTTTATTGGCCAGATAAACGTGGCTTATAGCAAATTGGACTACTTGACTTGTCCCCAGTACACCTTGATATGTTCATTTTGCTTTCACTCCTTTGCTTTGGCTCCTTATTCAAAATCAAGTATTCCTTGGTCGCCGAGTCATTCTACTTGACGCCATTTTCTCGTAATCTAATGCATACAAGTCCGTCCAAACCTGAAACTGCGTTGTTTGTACAACCTTCGAGTAATTGTTAACGTCGCAGCCATAATCGTATTTCACCTAACATGATGTTTGTCGTAGATGCTAATTGACAAACACAACACCAACGTGTAAGATGTGTGCAATGGCTCTTTATTTTTCACTTACACCGCAAACGCGAATCGTTCGTTATCAACGCTTATCTCGTTTTGTTTGAGATAAGCGCATTCCATGAATGATATCGAAATGGCATCATTCATCTGAATCGAGATTCAGGAGTCCAGGGATGCCAGATCTAAAGAATGATGAAAGTTGAGAATTTCCTTTTCAACAACGACTAAATTTGAAAGGACAAACTTAATTTGCGGTGTAGCAGCACCGAAAATGGAAAAAATTATTTGGTACGACATTTGAAATACAGCACTGTCACTTGTTTTGTTTGTAATTACTGCTGGAAGCTTTCGTTGTTCGATTCAAAAACACGAGTTTGTTTAGTTCTTCCTAAATTTGCAACATCTGGGACTGTCTAGGTCTTCTGTTGTGTCCAACCAGACACAGTATAAACCTACGCAGCTCTAATGAAAGTGTCGAGTCTCGAATACACCAGCGGAGTATCAATAGGATCGTGAAGATGCTCATAATAAGCTCCAATTTCGGTTTTCAAAGGCGGTGTTTAGAAGAATATGAACACGTTGTGAGATCGTGTAGCGCTCCACCTGCTGCAATGCGTGTATCAAAAATGGCGCGCAATTTAAATCAGTCAGTTATACAGGGTGACTTTGAAGTTGAGTCATTAATTTTCAGATAATGATTGTAGAAGGAAGATAAACCAAAATATGTGTGTAGAAATAAAAAAAAAATAAAAAAATGTTACCTTGTTTTATAAAGTATCCTCCCGACAAGTATTTCAGTGCGGACCTGTATTTGATCGTGCGGTCTTGGAGCACCGGCATGTCCTCCCCTGTGAGGTCTTAAGTCACCTGATTCACGAGCCCGTTGTACTACATTAACAAAGGCACGAGGGGTTGGTTGCACTCGTTTGGGAAACCGATCCGCATAAATCCGTGATGCCGCGGCAGCATTTTGTAAAGACTCCCACCCCCGTAAATAAGAATCATGTCCACAAGTTCAGCATTTTCGTAAACATGTGCCATTTTTTATTTCGTTTAAGCCACGCAACAAACACCACTATTCACTCACGCGTTACCGACTGACACATTGACTGAATACAACTGAATAAAACATCGTGATAAGCGTTTCAAATTCTTTCGCTTTTTTGTTTCCAATGCGATGAACCGATAAGGCGGATTATATCCGTTGTTGCCAATCACGAGCACATAATATTATTATTGAGACAGGGCGGTACTCAAACTTCTAAAGGGCTATAACTTTGTTACTTTAATTTTACCAGAAAAATGTTAAAGGAAAAAACATTTCTTTTGATCAGATCTACTCACTGTTAAAATAAATGACTCAACTTCGAAGTCACCCTGTATATTAACTAATTCAAAGAAATGAAGCTGCCCTGTACGGACACGCTCGTTGCTGCATTCTGATTAATCTTTTTCTATGAAAAGCCCAAATAGTGCGCTAATGGTTTAGAACAAACCTACGTCTTTTTGATACCATTGCACCACAGAGATAATTATACTTGAAGTTGTGGGGAGTATAGAGTCAACCAACTTGACGCCATTTTTTACTTCAATCCCATGGCTAGATATTTGGAGTACGTTTACATCATACTACGTTCTCATGTATACGTGTTTTCCGTATATTGCTTTCATAATTCATCATAGCGTAGATATATTTTTATCTCATAATCATCATTATCTTTATCGTTACTGATTATAGTGCCTGCTGTAGCAGTAGATTACTCTCATTACCTTTGGACGTAAGAACAATGTGTAATACTGACGTAAAAAAGGAGTTTGAGTGTTAGATTTCCGTTTCTCAGTTCATTTCTAATACCTTATCTTCAATAGCGGAATTTTATGAATGCACGCTTCCATAGGTAGCAGATCGTCTGAATTGGTATGCAGCTAGAGCAGTTACAGAATTAAGAAATCCAGGCCAGAAATAAAACAGCGCAAAGCGCCATCTGTCTTATTTCTATAGATCTCATACGTTGTAGGGATATATAGGATAGATACTATGCATTTATTCCTTGTCCCAGAATCCAAAAAGTACGACACATATGCAAAGACAATTTTTTATTATCTTTT